ATCACAAGTTTTTTGAGTTTCGACTTGAAGCTTTGTATAGATATAGGCCTCAATGAGAATAGTATATTGTAAAAGTTTGAAGTCTTTTGAATTGTTTTTAGCCTGAAATAAGAAGATCAACTCTGCTAGTTTACATAAGTGATATAAAAATTACGCTATAAACATAGTTGTATCTTAGGATAGGACCAGCGATAAGTTCTGAAAAATTCAGCAAAATCTAAGTCTGTCTCTATACAAAGTTTCAATCTGAAATTCAAAAAAAATACTTTGTCTGTTATCATGCGATTTATTTATCGTACAAGCACAGTATCTCTGCAATAATAAGTTAAGTATATGATCTCTTTTCCAAGTATTCACAGCTCATTTAGGTCTGCATAATGCATACAGTCTCGACTCACGACATCCGACAGTTGTATATGTTTTCTTATTAGAGGAATATATATTCTGGTGTACCGCTTATTTATTCTATTCTTTACCTCCAATAATTCCTTTATTAAGTTTATTATGTCCAACAACTTCAATTGGGTCACCTTTTTTTGCACTGCCACGTTCGACGCGTCCAGTTACAATAGTACCTTTGTCTAAGACGAAAAAGAAACAAAGATTAAAGATTAAAATTCATTATATAATTTAAATTTATACTCGCTATTGAATAAACATGTTCAACAGGTAATAGAAAAGGTTGATCAATAGCTCGCGGTGGTACAGGAATATATGTATCAACAGCTTCCAATAATTTTAATACAGCTTCTTTGCCTAATTTTGGATCTCGATCCTAAAAAGAAAAATTATTATATCGAAAAAAGAAGAAATCATTTTTACATACTTCAAGTGCATATAATGCTGAACCAGGTATAATCGGAGTATGTTCACCATCAAAACCAATTTGGGTTAATAATTCACGTAATTCAAGTTCAACCTAATATGAAAGGAAAAAAAGAATGATGCATCGAGTTCAAGTATTTTCAATAAATAAATTAGAAAATTTTACTAATTCAATCATTTCTTTATCAGCTGCATCTGCTTTATTCATAAAAACAACAATTTTTTCAATACCAATCTATAAATATAAATAATAATTAATAGAAATAAAATTAAAATTTTTTTTTAACTTGTTTAGCAAGTAGAAGATGTTCACGTGTTTGTGGCATAACACCATCAGTTGCAGCAACAACAAGTATTGCACCATCCATTTGTGATGAACCAGTAATCATATTCTAAAAATGAATTAAATTAATAATAAACTGTTTCTTTTTTCTTTTCGAAAATAATATACTTTAATATAATCAGCATGACCAGGACAATCAACATGACCATAATGTCGATTCGTTGTTGAATATTCAATATGTGCAGCATTAATTGTAATACCACGTTTTTTTTCTTCAGGTGCATTATCAATTTCTTCATATTTTTTTACTTTAGCTAATTTTTTTTCACTGAGAACTTTTTTAATCAAAAAAAGAAAAAAAAATAGAAATAGACATAAGATCAATATTAGTTTTTCCATTAGTCTTACTTCGAGTAATAGCAGCTGTTAGTGTTGTTTTACCATGATCAACATGACCAATTGTACCGATATTAATATGTGGTTTATCACGTTTAAATGTCTTTTTTTCAACAACAACTTGAGCAAGACATCGTCGAAAATATGCATTAACTAGTGTCATATCAGTAATTGATTGCTAAAAGAAAGGTTTGTTTTGTTTATAAATAGCAAATAAAAAAAGAAAAGAGTTGAACTTTTAAATAATTATAAATATTTTTTTATACGGAAAAGCAGACTTTTATTTTGCTAGTAAAAGGTTTTATTCAGTTAAGTAATATGAAATTGAACGTCTCAAAAAAATATCTAGTTTTTTTTTCTCTCGGACTAGATAATTATACAAATTAAATATTTTGATTAGACAATTTTTTTTTATTGTTTTTCGAATCGAGTTAATCAATTGATTCATTTTATAAATCGTTATCTTTTGCTTCAATGAAATATACCTGCATAATATGACGATAAGTAGGTGTAAATTGTCGTACACAAAACATTGCTCTTGTACTTAACATTTTTCTTATCTATTTAAATAAATAGATCTAAAACAGTAGAAGAAAAAAATTTTTCAATTATTCAAATACAATATTTATATAAAAATAAGATAAAAAGTCACTTAATAAAATGTAAAAAGATCTATGATTGAGAAACTAGCAATGCTAATTGTATTCATTCACATTTGAATATAGATTCACACTTTATATTACTTACACCTTAATTCAATCGAAAATCTTTGCTATAGAAGTTCTTAAATATAAAGGATTAATATACATAAAATCTAAGCTCTTTGAATGTCTCAGACATTAGAAGTAGATCAAAACTTTTTCTAAAATTCTACACGTAAACTATAAGAAATCATCTATTTAAGCTGAAGAATTTCATAAACGCCTATTCGGAATTATTTTTATAGATTCCATTACATATAGGAGAAATTGAAGGCTCAATTTGAACACTAAAATGTCTCAATTGAACTCTATTTTAGCTTGATATTCAAATTTTCCTTGCAGAAAGTTTATTTATTGTTTACTCGGATTTCTATTTGTTGCTTTCTTTTGACCAACCGGTTCATCACAAACAATGAGCGACATCATTTCAACAAAATGTTTTTCTTTTACTAAGTGCTAAATCTTACTTCACCATCATGCTTTCATACTTCTATCTGTAATGTCTAACACTAATAATGAAAGGTGTGTCAATAGGTATTTTATTCACTTTTATTCACAGTCTCATCAATAAGGCAGAGTTTCTCTGTACGTATACCTATCCCTTCGAACAAAAACAAAAACCACTGTTCAAATTTCAAGAACATGTTTATAATAAAAAAAATGCTGTCAAGTTATCACTCGTGTTTTTATAATCCTAGTCGATTTTATTGTAAGAACTAGCAAAATCAAGATGATTTACGAGAAGAACTTTTTAATAAGATGAACACGCATTCAAATAGACATCCATGTTGCTATAGGGAACAACCCTAGTGGTATCCATGAGTAAGAGAACATTCTGGTTGATTTTAATGGATTTTTTTTATGACAGATAATGGCATCCTCATATTCTATGTAATTTGTTTGAGCTGAGAATAAATGAGTGAGCCTTTCGGATCCGTTATTGTTTGATCAAGCAGAATGTCATACACGCTTTGAGTTTGGTTGCATTGCTTCTATTTAATCAACAACATACTCAACTGATTTCATCCTTTCTTCTGAGGATAAATCTCTTTTCACGTATTTGCTTAGTAATTTCGTGGAGTTCTAAGTCTTTTTCAGTGACCAACGTAAGATAATAAAAGTCCACCTTGTGTCTTGATTACTTGATCAAAGTCTATCTGTAACAAATTTTGGAAAGATGATGGTAGTACTCATGAATCTATTTGTCGACTGTTTGAACTCATTTCGAGTCCTTGACGAAAGGGTTGTGACAAATAAATGACGATGAGTTCGACTATGCCGTGTATGAAATGAACAATTGTTTCTCCAATTGTATTCGAAGAAATCATAAGCGCTTTCTCTTCTTTAACATTACTGATAGAATTGGTACATTTATCTGCATCAGTGAACGTATTGACTTTATTTAGTATTTCTTCTCATTTTGACATTGTCTTTGTTCTTCTCTACATGATTACTAATGTCAAGACAGATCTAGCAAAAATTTGTGAGTTGTACGTGCAAAAGATAGCTGTCATGTTGTTATACTCGTATGTTCAGTTGGTACAGAATCTCTGGTGAGGGGAACATGAAGATTCATATATTAGTTAAGTTCGTTAGGAATGATCGTTTTTGTTACTTCAATGTACATCCATTGTAACAAACAACAGCTAGTAGAACATTCGTATAGATTCCTTTTGCAGCAAATAAAATAAAAAAAAAACATTTCTGCCCTTGTCAAAAAAAAGTATTGATTGTTCATTTTTACTTTGTTTTTTTTTCTCTCAAGAATTCACTTAGAGAACAAAACAAATGAGCATTGCTCCAAAACTTTTTGTTATTATTGGTTCTCTTTTTACTCTAAGTGTATGTAGTATGTTTTATGCATCACTTTCGACAAAAAAATTGTCATGCATTCGTTTATTTTTCTTCGTTCATTTTGTATTTGTTCGTAGCTCAATATAACAGCAGATGTCTACTTCGACTGTAAAAACTAATAGAATGAACATGCAATTCATGACATTCCGCTCACTTCCTATACACATTGATAGTTCACAAAGTTTTGACATCAACAACTAGACAGTTCAGTTTTATCGATAGATCGACAAGTGAAATAAAATAAATGCTTGACATTGTAATTAAATAGTAAATTGACAAAAAAATGAAGGACAATAAAATATATTATGATTGGACACAAGAACAATCAAAGATTTTGTTTTTTTCATTCTTTATGTCGTTCATCGGTCGGGATTCTTCAATAACTTTCTAACATTATTTGTCCTTCATCTTATCGTCATCGATGAAAATGAAATAAGAAAAATATTTAATTAGAATTATAATTAGTCAACATAATGGTTCACTAAGCGTATAAACTAACCTTTTTTTATTGTCAAATAACTTACATAGATGACAAAAAAAAAAGATCTATGATGAAATAATGGTGAAATCAAAGAGAAAAAAAAAGAAGCATGGAACCACAGACGAGAAGAAGAACAAGAAAAAAAATACGCGTCTGCCAGGTTCGTTGGAAAATTATATGCATTTGTGTTATTAAAAAATTTTTTACTCTGCACTGTTATTCTTGCCTGTTCTTTCTTTGTTCGTCTTATATCATATATCTTCATCGTCGTTTTCTTTTTTTTTTTTTTCTTTTTGAATCAATAATGATGAGGCAATCAAGTTCAATGAGCGAAACATTCAGCAACGCTTGACTAGTTTTTTATATCTTCTCATTTTTATTTTATACATCAGTCGTATTTATCACTAGACAATCAACAATTCAACAACCCTATATAATGAAATAACAAAAAAAAAAAACGATGGATATTGATGATAATAATGAAGATTTTATTCATACGAAAACCGTTTTTCGACGTCATTCAAAAGGTCCTGTTATGTTTAATGGATGTTCACCATTAGGTGATGTTATTATAATTGATAATATTAGTCAAAAAAAATCCTATGATCTAACTGGATGGTATATTGAACGACAAACAGATTCTCAACAATTTCTTCGATATACATTTACAGATAAATTTATTCTTCCACCAATGACAACAATTGAATTATGGTCAAGTACATCAACACCTATATCAATATCAAATGAAAAAGAACATAATCAATCATCAGAATCACATGAACAACAACAAACATTTGTTATAATTAAAACAAAATTATTAACATGGAATACTGCTCGACAATGGAGTATTAATCAACTGTTTGATTCTCATGGACACGAAAAGGCTATTTTTTCTCATCGAACATTGACACCAATAGAACATGAAAAAGAAGAATAAATAATAAAGCAAATAGAATATAATATTAAATCAAGTCAAAATGATTTTAAAAAAAAAAGGTTGCTTTATAACAATTCTTTTTCAACTTTGAAATTTGAAACGATAAAGATTTCTTTTTTTGAAAAGGATTTTAAAACACTTCAAAAAGAAGCTTAAAAAAAATATTAAATTTTCCTATCATTTTTTCTTCATTGACCGATTAATTTCATAAATATATGTGTGTGTGTGTGTGAGTGTATAGTCGAAATATTTCAACGTAAATATTAACAAGCAATATTATTTTTATCATATGCAGATGTTTGAAAAACATTCGTGTGTTTCATACTCTCACGATAAATTTTCTAAGTGTAAGGTAGGCGAGAGAAGGTAGGTGTAAACAGATGTCGATTTTCTCAATATGCTGAAAGCTTTCTTATATATTAGCAATATTATAGTATTATTGTTTGATAAATCGATTTTCTTATACTTCTCTTTACTGCTTCGAAACAACCGAAACTTACCGACAATAAGATGAAGTGTTTGGCATTAATCGCTGTTCTTTGCTTTTTTGGTATGAGTGCTGGACAAGGAATAACAATGGATTTTCTTAATGATAATGTCGTTAATCCTATGCTTCAACAAATTCAAACCAGTTAGTAAACTAAATAATTTTAATGTATTTTCTTAGGATTTTCTTTTTAATACAGATGCACTTGGCATGCTTAGTCAACAAATAAGCGGTCTCTTTTCAAGCCTTTTTACAGACCTTTTTGGCAAACGTGATTTATCAGATCGCTTGAACATTAATCTTAAAGAAGTAAGAAGAAAAGGTCCAAATTAATTAAAGAAAAAATCAAAAAAATTCATTTCTTTTTTTTTAACAAGGTTTTGGCTCCATTTATCGCTCAAGTTAAAGCAATCTATCAACGTTTATTTACAGTCTTTGTTCAAATTGTTCAACATGTTGAAGATGTAAGTTTTTCAATATAATTTTTCTTTTAATGATTAAGTATATGTTTCTTTTTAGTGGATCCAAAAACCTGATTGGGCACGTATCGAATTTGTTCGTGCTGGTGCTGAAGCTGAAGCTGCAGTTTCAAAACTCCATCCTGGTGCTGAAGTAAGAAAATAATTAAATATTGAAGTATTCAATAAGAAATATCATAAATGTACATTTTAGTTTTTACAACCACTCGTTAACCTTGTTCAAACTCATTTACACGCTCTTATCCCCGATTTTGAAGCAATCATTGTCCAACTTTTCGGCTCTCTTCAAAATCCAGTTCAATCACTCATTGGTACTGGCAGTCTTTTACAACCATAAATAAATAAATAAATAAATAAACAAATAAACGATTTATCTTTCATTTTTTTCTTCCCTGTTTAATGATGTTATCCATAAATTCTATTAAATGATTATTGCTATTTTGATGATGAGCTATTTTATTTGTTTTTGTACATAATCAACCAAAGAAAATTTTCTAAAGTTATTTGCGTCATGAATTCAAATGATTGATCAAAATAGATCGATCATATTCACCAAAGAAAAAAATCGATAGATATTAATAACCGATTTTTTCATACTATAGAAACTAGTGTCCTTGATTGACAATTAAGATAAGATAGATTAGCTTATATCGATTTTAGTCAGTTCCAAATTTAGTTCTAATTAACTTTTCAACTAAGATCAATAAAGATAAGAATTAAAGTTGGAGGTATATAATACTTTCATCGCTTAAGATTCACAAGCTATTGACAAAGTATCACAAGCATAAAATTCGATCAGGTTCAGATTCGAAAATTTTGAATCCTATGGGTTCTATCATACAGTAAAAACTTCTTTAATGAAGAAATAAAGTCTATTATGTTTGGGGTTATTCTTTTTCTTAATTACTTACATATGTCACTCACTTGTTCAACATATAAAAAAAAACAAGAAATCATTTCTCTTACTTATCAAACGTATGAGCAAATCAGGAATGGATTCAATTTAGAAAAAATTATGTTTGGACAAATCAATCAGGAATGCTAGAAACTAGATATAGATAAGATAGAACCAAGACCAACATTCGTTTTCATTGTGAACGTTAGATGGTTCCGATTCTGACGGAAGCGGAACCAAAAAAGACTGATCGTACTCATGTATAATTGAAAAACTCTTAAGAAAGATCAAAGCTATGTGATTCAGAAAAAGTCTCACAAGCAACTCATTCATATTTCAGCTACAAAAAACAACTTTTCTTTTGTGACGAATAATAAAAGAGTGACGAGATAGTTTAAAAGTTTGCCCAAATAAAATGTTCGAAAGTGTCGATTGTGAAAATGACAAATTATAAGCGAGAATGATTTTATTCAGATTAGAAAAAAACAACAAATCTTCAATGACAAGAAAGAAGAGTGAGTTATATAAAACCGAATCACAAAAGATTATGATGTTGATTTGACATATTGTAAATCAAACCTACGAAGAAAACACTTTTTTTTTTTTCTTTGCAATTTTAAATCTTCTTCTTACCAGTTATTTGTTTCTATAGCATGATTTTTAAGATTATGTAAAGGAATTAATATCTTAAATAAATTCAAAAAGTAAATCAATACTTCATTATAAAAATAGTTTTCTTACCTCTCTATCACGAGGTGTTGATGGATCAGAATGATTACTAACAAAAATATATAATTTTTTTTTAATAACTTTTTCATATGTAATACAAAATATCACAGGCTCTTTCCATAGTATAGGTGCGTTTTCACTAATAAATCTTTTATGTTTTTCAACATCATGTTCATTAATATCATTTTCAATTAATGAAAATGTTAAACACATATCTCGTGCAGTTACTTGTTCAGGTCTTATTATACCTTGTGCATTAATTATTTGAATTATTAATTGACTTCGTTCATCATCATAGCGTATTGATAAATTTAATCGACCAGGTTTTGAATCAGGATGTACGACAGGGTCATATTCTGATATACATTCTTCATGGTGATGTTTTGTTGAATCATCTGTTTTGTGGTGTTTACCTAATTGAATATCATGAACACACGAACGAAAATATTCATCTTGTAATCGATATATATCTGATTTTTCTTTAATAATTTCACCAGTTGGTTGATGTTCAACAGTAAGAATTCGGTTGTCAGAATTGAAATTTATTATTTCATCAGGTTCACCTTGAGGTATGGGTTGATCATTTTCTAAGCCTTGAAGATTTGATGAATCTGGTTGTTTATCCTGGAAATAAATTATAATTGAATATTATTAAAATTTTCTTTTTATTTTTGATTCTATTTGTAAAGAGAAAAGTTAAATTTGAATTCATTATCCTTGTTTTTTGTTAACTCTTTACCTACCATGATATAATCAATTTGGTAGCGATAGCAAAAAAAATTACGCTTAAATATCAATGTGTAAAACAGAATAAAGAAATAATGATAAGAAAACGGTCATAAAAAAAGGACGTCAACAAAAATAAAATACGTAAAAGACAGAATAAAGAAATAATGATGAGAAAACAGCAAGTATGCCCTTCATCGAAAACAAGATCATCGAAGAGCATTACATTCAAGAAAACGGTTATAAAAAAGAAGGTCAACAAAAATAAAATACATAAAAGAAAAATATGAAAAAATATATTTTGATGGTGCTTACCATACTAATATTTTTTTTTATCAAATTAACGTGATTCACCAATAAAATAAATTATTTAGCTGATAACTTTAACCCTCTAATGTGAATGGTTTTCAAAGAGTAGCTGCCTAATAACACGTGTATCGATAAGGTGGATATATAAGACATTCAAAAAAAAACAAGAAAAAAACCAAATCAACATTCTTAAAAAAAAGACGAACAAGAATAGACATAACGTGGACGATGACTTATTATTGAAAAAGAAGATTGATACAGAAATGGTTTCAACAGAAAAACGACAAAAAGACGAATAGTACGAGAATGTCTCCGAAAATTCAGCACAGCATCTAATATCTTACACAGTAAACAGATTCACAATACAAAAAAAAAAGAAATGTAATTAATTGTGAAAATGAAGGAAAGAACTGATTATTAGACAATGTCTGTTGAATTTTATTATAGTCGTTGGTACCATCCCATCTAAAATTGTGAAGTTATGCTAGTACCATATGTTCTCGAAAGAAAAAAAGCTGTTAGTGCAATCTTTGAGGGATTAAAAAGACATATTTCTTCGCCCTCCTTTTAATTCTTCAGAAATACAAAAAGACATCAGCTCATGCATTGTAACGAAACGCTTTTAGATATATAATCTGCGATCATATATCAATGATATCTGTCGTGGTAGATAAGTCTTTGGCTGGCGTCTATCATGCTCTGTGGGAGGAAGGGGGTTGAAATTTTTAGCCATATACTTCAAAACTTATGTGAGATGGTGTTTCACAAAAGTATTGAATTAATTCAAGATTATAAAATACTATACATGATGATAAACTTTAGAAAGAAAATCTCAATGATGGAATACATTATCACGGCATTCTCTCGATGAGTTATGATGAACGGCCTATATTGGTACAACATAGGGTGTGGGTGTCTTCGTTTTATTCAAACCTACGACTACACTCACACCCACATCCCACGCCCTCGTAATTCGCTCACGGTAACTGACACTACAAAAACGTAGATTTTCAGGAAGAATATCCAAATGTTTTGTAATTAGTACGAGTTATCGTCAGCGAAAGAATAGTTGTTTTTATAAGAAAGTCACTGTTCTTTCTTTTCCTCTTTGCTATTATTGATTGTTCTTTCTTAATTTGTTTGTCATTCTTTTTTTTTTAATATTGATTTGAAGCAATATGACACAGCGAGTGCAAAAAAAAATCAAATAAAGTATTTGAAGTGTTTACAAGTTCAAAAGAAAAAAATCAATTGATATGTCTTCTTTTTAAATGAAGAAAATAATCATAATAATAATTCTAATATAAGTCAAATTCATTTCCGGTTGACAATTGAGAATAGATGAGATCATTATTTCGGCTTCCTGTGTTGAATCTATTATTGTTCTTTCGCATTATATAACGATTGTATAATACATATGTAAATCCAACAGATAAGAGAACAACTGTGATTGCAAAAATAAAAATTGATACAAAATGTATGGTCACAGATTTTATGGGTTTTTGAAAACTTGATTCATCATTGATTGAGCATTTAGTATAATCACTATAAAATAAATACACAATACATTATCAAGCTTGAGAAAGTAATTTGATACGTCTAAACAAGTGAAATAACGGATTTAGTTTCTTTTTGCCGCAATTTTCGGTATTCATAATTATATTACTCCAGAAACTGCAATTCACTTCTTCCACTGACAATCAAAATCTATACTAATGACATTGTTGGAAAAAAATCATATAAGCTCATTTCCATTCTAACCATAAAGAACTGCAGGTTATCCATGAAAAGTAGAAGTTAGCACTTTATGTTTAATTCTTTTTAATAGAAATGCCTAAAGTAAAGATTAAAGAGATCCTCAGTCAGCATAAAGAGTACGAGAAAATTCTAAGCATGTATGCCTATAGTCTGTTAGTATATAGTTCGTTATTCATCACTTTTAGAGTCATTTAACTAGGGTAACATTATGACATAACGGCATGAAAACTTCTCATGAAATATAAGAACAACAAGAAGATGTATTACCTACCTTTGACACTACTATCGCATATCGCATCGAAAATTTCTCTCGGTTATCATGCGATTTGCGGTAAAAGCTTAACCTATCCGTCTCTACTTTACAAAAACGTATCGATTGTATTAATAAATATTTGCCTATCTATCAATTGGCTCGAGCATTATACAATATATACATCAAATAAATGCACATATCTACAAAGAACGACTCTTTATTCTAAGGATTCTAGACGTATATAAATAAATTTTATAGTTACCACAGAGAAATCTAAATATACTGTGCCTATATCTTATGAATGACTAACCATTGAGCTACAATGACACGCTTTTTTCGAATCGGTACTTTTTGACATATCACAGTTGCTAGCCGATTACAAGGTATTTCATCACATAAAATCGATAGTGTGTATTCAGATCGAAAATCAACATATGCACAACCAGTCTGTTCATTTTTTAATTGATTTTTTTCTATTTCTGATATATTTGGCGATGACATCAATCTTGCATAATGTTGTCGAAATGTGAATTCACATAAAGTATAAAGAGAAGAGGAATCCAATATCCTTGGTAAAGTATTTATATCAGTTGTATTAGTTTGTATTACAATAAGCTTTTGATTATCATAAATAACACCAATATGTGCAACACCAGATGATGTATAACTATATCGACGTAAAAATAAGGATTTTATCAAGTTTAATGTCATCATTTGTTCAGGTACAAATAACATAGCATTATCACGTTCACATTCAGATTTTGCATTTTGCCACGTTGTTTCATGAAATAATACTTTATAGCAATACTCACCCATCAAATGATAATGTGTGTCATCATCACATGAATAATCTGTTGATATATTAATGGATATAATTAACGAATTGCCATCTTTAGTTGAAGGAATAACAGTTGAATTAAATTCTAGATGTCG